AGCGCATCTTCAGACCCACCATTCGATATGTGTGCGCTGCGCGTTTTCAGGGGATGCAAAATGGTTCGGAACAGCGTGGAAGTGAGGCTTTAGTTTGGCCGAGGTTAGTTAAATTAAGCCAAAGCAAAACACCAGATATTAAATAGAGCTGACAGAGTTACTCAGGGATGGGATCAGGCTTGAAGAACTGGGAATAATATGGCTGTCTACAAAAGCTTAATGCCAAAGGGGAGATATGCAATCAGTTCAGTGGAGACGGGCATGAGAGAGATAAAATGGCAGGATATAGATAAGGACAATTGGGAGGTTGGTTTTCGCACTTGCGGACTAATGCTAAGGGTTTCAGGCTAGTAAGTGTAAGTGCTAGGACCTAATAACGGGAAAGTCAGGGTGAGTGCGCAGATCAGAAGGGCATAGGGCTCGTTTCAAAAAAGTGCCTAGTGTAGGCTGAGGCGCGAAAATGCGCTCAGTTTCCTCAACAAAGGAGTAAGAATCGATGGCCTTTCGTCTCTTACAAGAAGGTTCGAACATCCTTCATCAGGAACAAGTCGGCGAAACACCGCTTCGGAAAAACCCCGAAAAGGTTGGATATGATAGGGCCGCTTGTGCAAAGCGCAGGACCACAGAATGTTTGCTTTAGGCCTGAGACGCCATCATATGGTCATTCATTGCCTCCGCGTTTCCGTCTCTCAAGAAGACGAACTCATTTTCAGTCTTCCGCAGCTGTATTCTCAAGCTGTTCAAAAAACGATGCCGAATCGATGCAGGCAGCCTTTTGTCTAGTTGGCTGGTGCTTTTGAGGCGAATGTGGTGTTGGCTCCGTGAATCTCTTGGACAGTGGTTATGTACGTTTCTTCCACTAAAGCTGGTCCCAGTTTAAACTGGGACATGTACATTTGAAAAGTCCACACAGAAGAACTTTTGAGTACACATCTGAGGTACAGAGTTCCTGANGGGGCCAAACAAGTGTTTCATTCATAGCGCATCTTCAGACCCACCATTCGATATGTGTGCGCTGCGCGTTTTCAGGGGATGCAAAATGGTTCGGAACAGCGTGGAAGTGAGGCTTTAGTTTGGCCGAGGTTAGTTAAATTAAGCCAAAGCAAAACACCAGATATTAAATAGAGCTGACAGAGTTACTCAGGGATGGGATCAGGCTTGAAGAACTGGGAATAATATGGCTGTCTACAAAAGCTTAATGCCAAAGGGGAGATATGCAATCAGTTCAGTGGAGACGGGCATGAGAGAGATAAAATGGCAGGATATAGATAAGGACAATTGGGAGGTTGGTTTTCGCACTTGCGGACTAATGCTAAGGGTTTCAGGCTAGTAAGTGTAAGTGCTAGGACCTAATAACGGGAAAGTCAGGGTGAGTGCGCAGATCAGAAGGGCATAGGGCTCGTTTCAAAAAAGTGCCTAGTGTAGGCTGAGGCGCGAAAATGCGCTCAGTTTCCTCAATAAAGGAGTAAGAATCGATGGCCTTTCGTCTCTTACAAGAAGGTTCGAACATCCTTCATCAGGAACAAGTCGGCGAAACACCGCTTCGGAAAAACCCCGAAAAGGTTGGATATGATAGGGCCGCTTGTGCAAAGCGCAGGACCACAGAATGTTTGCTTTAGGCCTGAGACGCCATCATATGGTCATTCATTGCCTCCGCGTTTCCGTCTCTCAAGAAGACGAACTCATTTTCAGTCTTCCGCAGCTGTATTCTCAAGCTGTTCAAAAAACGATGCCGAATCGATGCAGGCAGCCTTTTATCTAGTTGGCTGGTGATTTTGAGGCGAATGTGGTGTTGGCTCCGTGAATCTCCTGGACAGTGGTTATGTACGTTTCTTCCACTAAAGCTGGTCCCAGTTTAAACTGGGACATGTACATTTGAAAAGTCCACACAGAAGAACTTTTGAGTACACATCTGAGGTACAGAGTTCCTGATCCAGTAGCAGATGAAATCAAAGGTTAGAACAGTATAGTCACTGTGACTTAGCGATGATAACCAAATCCAGCGGGAGTTATTTAGCTGCTTGGTACCTGATGGGTGCAATGACGTGTTTGGTGCAAGCGCCGTACTGAACGACCTCGGCCGGCGCAGATGCAAAATGTCCACTAAAACCGATGCGCTTGACTTGCATTCGGAAGCCTTGGAAGCGTTGGAATCACCTACAAGCAAAATATGGGTGAATTATTAGCAGGTGGAGGGTTGCTACTGGGTTTGTATGGGAAAAGGGTCATCTTGCGGTGGACTTGTTTAACCTCGAGAAGAAGGAAATCATTCAAATGCAGTGAAATTGGAATACACAATACATCATAAAACGCTGTAGCAAGTGTGTTGGAGAAACCGTTATTTAGGTAGGGCCGTCTTTGGGTATGAAGAAAACCCATCTGCATTCACGCATTTCCGGTCTGCTCGGAAAACGAAATGGCAGCCTGTCGACAGATTTGCGCCAGAGAGGTCTGATGAAAGCCAGGATTCTGCAGGTAGGTTATTCGGCGATTGTTCAGGGCAAGCTGAATGCTTGATGCCGAGAAGTCTTTTAGAGGCGGTAAGACAGGATGAGCACAAACACTTAATTTCTATTTCTGCTGCGTCCGAAGGTTTGCAGCACAGTGGTTTACCACCAGTTGGGTTAGCAGATTTGATCGTTCTATATCGGATACCATTTCAAGGGCTCAAACGAACGAACGTGTCGTACCTGACTGCTTTCTGCTTTGGTGCGTCCAATGTTTGCCGCTCGTTTGCATAGCTTGCTCGTCGGAACCCGGTTTGCTCGAACCTATGTTATTGGGGAAGCAGCTTTTCCCATTGTTGTCGATAGTTTGGATGGCTGCCGTTTGTAGCTCACACAATACCAACATTTATAGGCATGGACCGGCTGTATTACGAAGATTTCTGGTAAAAATATTCCGCTCTGTTCCTCAGGCCTCCATGTGCGGTCTGACCGCCAAGGTGCCTCTGGGAGACCCTGTCGCGTGATCTGTGCTTCGGATTCAACCACTGAGAAGCAACATTTTGGTGACAATCTTTGGAAACTCGTTTTCGCAAATAACCGCGCTGAGAAGCCATAAGGGGCTTTCCAGGCTCGTTGACCTCCTTTCTTTTGTGTTTTACTTTTGATAAACCTCAAGTAGCACTTGATTAGCGTGGCCAAATCAAGGTGTACAGGCTTTTCGGTTACACCACTACCAATTTTAGGACTCTGGCCCATGCACTAATAACTCGAGACTATCAACAATGAGACTGGCCACTTTTGAATCAATGGAGTTGTAGACCTGTAGTTTCGCACTTTCAGGAGATTCTCCCTCGATTTTCCTAAATACAGCCCGCCTTATTCGGTGCGAAGCTTCCGTAAGACAAAAGGATATTGAACAATATTGCCAGTATTTTTTGTCATTGGGTGCGTGGAACAGCCTTTTTCTAACGGACACCCACGCTGCACCCAGAAACTAGTTCAAACCTGATCTGGATAATTTATCTTCCCTGGATTATCCTTCCTCGAGTATAACCGCCTCCGAGGGGAACTAATTATTACATATGCACAGTTTGAACAAGGCTTAGCCAACAGGTTTTTCACTGTTGGCTCAGCCATCACACGGCGGGAACGTGGTAAGGAGATTTTCAAGCTCGGAGCGCACACTTCCACTGAGCGAAATTATCTCTCATTTCGGGTGGCAGCTGCGTGGAATCACCTTCCTCCGACGGTTGTACATGCTCCATTTAGAACCCAGTTCAAAACACTACTAAGCACCAATTTAGGCGAGTCCTCGCGCTGGTAAGCTCACTGCCTCACGCTGAGAACTTCAGGAGCAGTATTAAACTTCTTTCATTTATGCCTTTCAGGTGAACGACAGCCGCTGAACTTCAAGAACAAGACTTGGGTGAAGGCCTCGATCCTGTGTATCATTCCGTGAATCCGTGTATCTGAACCTTGAGCTAGCAAGCTCATTTTACGGACGATCCGACGCACCTTCTCCCGTATTACTCGCATGGACTTCCAAATACTCTATGGTGCCTATGTCAGACCGCTCCTGGAATACGCCAACCAAGTTGTCTACTCAGGGCGCACGAAAGACTTCACCCTCATTGAGCATGTCCAGCGAGCCGCCACGAGAATGGTTGCCGGCCTCAAATCCGTGAACTACGAAACGTATTCCGCGATGCTTGATCTCACTCCCCTGGAGTGCCGTCGCCTCCAGGGGACCTAATCCGTGGAATATGAAACCCGTCCCGCGGTGCTTGACCTTTTCCCCTGGCATATCATCGCCTCCTGGAGGACCTAATTCTCACTTATGCCCTGTCTGAACAAGACCTGGCCAACAGGTTTTTCGCCGTTGACCAAGAAGACACACGGCTAGAACATGGTGAGGAAATTTTCGAGCTCAGAGCGCACACTTCGGACAATTGTCCACGCCCCACATAGACACTTATTTATGCAAGTCCTCGCGCTGGCAAGCATACTGCTCCGCGCTGAGAACTTAAAGAGCAGCGCTACATCCTTTTTTCACTCGTGCCTTTCAGGTGAACGACAGCCACTGACCGACAAGAACAAAAGCGGGCCGGGAAACCTGGGCAATGGCCTCAATCCTGTGTATCAATCCGTGAATCCGTGAACTTCCGAAAGCCAATAACGCAGATAATGATGGCAAAACTTTGGTTTTGACCCGCGTTTTTTTGGAAGGACTGAGTTGACTGAGTGGAAAGAAGAAGCCTTGTATATGGAGCTTAGGCAGGCTCCTCGGTTCCGCGTAACGCCGATTGCGTGTGGATTGCGAACTGAAAGTAATTTAAGTGTGGCAAGTTCAAGGACCTTTTCGAGGCCGCTGTTCTGCTCGTCATTCTTCCCGGCAGGATGACGTCTCGGTCAGTCAATCTGGTCATAAAGTCTCCCAATGATAAAATCCCTTGTCAGAATATATGCTGCCCGGCTGTGTGGACAGTTAAAGAACTGAAAGCACACTTGTGTGAATGTTACCCTACGAACCCTACACCAGCCTCACAAAGGTTAATCCATGCTGGTAAACTGCTTAAGGATGAAGTATGCCTCGAATCCGTATTCAGAGACGTAAGCGTATCGCTTTCAGTCTAGCGTTTTTTCAACGTAGTCTACCGGCGTCCAAACCATACATTTGGTCTGCAGAGGTCCGAAAGCCACGCAGCCGCCGCAAACTACCTCCACTCCATCTAATCAGGATACCAACTCGGATAACCTCAGGTAAGCCTGATTAGGCTATTCAGTTTTATCCTCATCAGCGTCACCTGAACCGTCCATACGTTTTTGCTGTGTGGGTCGAAGTAATGATAGGCGCTTGGAGTTTCACTTTTTGAGTCAAGGAGGCCGAAATTCGCTTCAGTTGAAATGTACTCTATTTGGCAGTGTATAATTTCCGTGTGAGCTCCTTCAGATATGTTCAGTGACGTTCGGGCTTTTCTCCTCGATGATTATGTGGGTGCAACCCGTCAATATTGCGCCGAACTGCCAAGTCATCCACCTGCTTGGAATACTTATCTGAGGTGGGCATCCTGTAGGATATTTAGGATGCTGACCACCCTATCCGGTGACGTGTCGATTATAGCAGTCTCCCTCTGGTTTAGATAGCCTCCTCCATCGACCATAAGCACGAAGTTTTCCCACGTCTACCCTAGTCCGAAGAATCGGGTTCCGACGTGTTAAATTTCATTGGTGATGGCAGCGGCTTCGTTTATTGCGATTAACATGCTATTTATCCTCATGTTCAGATCCAGGTCAACAAGGGCTGGAAGGTTTCATTTTGCGGTTTCAGGCACTTCAGAGTAACGTGATAATTTTACCTGTGTCAACTCGCACTTTATCTCAGGTTTCCCACATGTCGGCCAGTGTGTTCCCAAAAAGGCTCTCACGGGCTGATCTGCGGAATTTTCGTCCCATGAATATACGACTGTGAATATCACAATGCAGTGGCACTCCAAAATGCTTGAATGTCATTTTGTAGCCAGTGTCCTAGCTCGGGTGACAAAGGTCTGTTGGGCTCCGCAAATGCGCAGAAAAAGAACTTTTTCTCATCGGTGTCGCAGTACTGGTGAGTGTAGAGTTCGAGGTTGAGGCGTTGTCACTATTAACTGAGCTTCTCTGGCGGCACCCAGCGCGAGCTCGAAGCACATTGGTGCTCGTCGTGAACTGTTTTCGCCTGTCTCTTGTTCAAACCCAACACTTGCCTTTGGATAGCGATTACTATGTATAGACAACTTGGAAGTTCCAGAGCCCACGTCCGAGGATCACGACAACTATACTTTGGAAGTTGTAGCAGCTGGGAGTTTGAACCTGGATTGATTCGGCTGTACTCTTCACTGTTAGTAAACCCTCTTGTTTCCGGACCTCTCTTCGCACACAGTGGTTAGAGCACGAATTTACTGACCAAAATGTCCGTGGTTCGGACTTGACCAGCCTATCGACTTCCCCTGTCTAGGCATGGGCAACCTGGCAGTGTCCCAGCCTTCGTGCTTCCCTCTGGTGGCATCGCCGCTGGGCACCAAACGAGTGCTCCAGCTGAATGATTTTTTTATTACCCAGTTAATGAAAAGGGCAATGTGAGGGTCCGAAGTGAGATAGAACGTCGGTGGATCTAGGGTAAGCGATAATCAGAACTACATCCTTGTAGTTCCCTGCTTTTACATCACATCTGTTTGAGGTTTTAGGTTTTTACCGGAGGGAGTATGCTCTCTGGAATCAAGTAACTGGTGATGTCTAGCGACCTGCTTGCTGAAAATGTTTATAATTATGCCATTCTTAGCTTCATTTCATGTGTTGTGGAGTTACTCGGGCAGTGAAACTTTAGGTGATATCTGTGAAAAAGCCTGTTCGTGTTCACACTTACTCGTATGACCTGGTTTTACGATTGATCCCTGTAGGACTCCATTTCCGACTAATTCGCTAGTTGTCACTAAGTCGTCGTCGACTCTAAGCATTGCCAGGTCCAGCCGGTGTGTGCTTCCCATTTGGACTTGCGTATACGTCACTGCTGTTTCCAGCGCTGTTCTGATCCTGCTTTTGATTTCCGGAACGCCTGACCGAGGCGCCACAAACCCATACTTTTGCTCAGCTTTAGTACTGTGACTGTGAACACAGAGGTATCAGTTTGGCTCCCGTCTGTAAAAATCGTCGTTCAGCTGTAGCACCCTCCGGGCGCCTAACTGCCATACCGCCAGAAAGAAGCATAGGGGTGGGGATATTGCTAAGTTGCCCAAGCCTAGGCAAGGAGATTCGAGGGGCAGGGGTCGGATTTGGACAACCACTGAGCCATCTGGTTCTGTAAAAGCTTCTGAAATCGTGATTCTTCGTCGTAGGGCTTCATCTGAAATTTTGTTTTGTGGACATCAAACGGGATTTCGACCGGATATATGCTGCATCGGTCACATCTTCACACTCGGTGGGGGTGTTATGAAGGTACCATGGATACAGGCCATCTCTAATCTTTAACTTCGGGGGTGCTTTCGGCTCTGTCAACCAGCTTGTACTTCTGGCCATGCGTGTTCAACCGGAAGTTCGTGAACATACTCCAATACCTGTATTAATATGCTTCTTGATATTAGGTCGCGTATCATCATCATCGACAGCATGACATCAGTGTTCAACACCGATGCTTCACTGCCGCACAACTATGATTTAGTTGAAAGCCTTATTGTAAAGCAAAGAGTAAAGGTGGACAGGGAAGGGACTTAGTGATATCTTACCACAATCATTCCGAGGTGCCTACACCTCCAGACATTCACTCAGGCAATCTGGATGGAAACTGACAACAACAACCAGAAGCTGCGTTGGTTGGGACATGTGTTGCGTATACCGAACCATCGTTTGCCGAAGAGAGTGCTGTTTTCCATGCCCAACTCAGAGTGGCGTAAACAGAAAGGTAGCCAATCCATGACCTGGCAGAAGAGTATGAAGATCACGAAACGCTTGGGTGCTGTCGGTGCTACTCGCTGTCCAGGGTGAGGACCGCGTGATCCTCACTGTGCCTGGTTGGAGGCACTACAAGATATGGCTGCCAACCGATGTCAGTGGCGTTCTTGTCAGTTTCCATCCAGATTGCCTGAGTGAATGTCTGGAGGTGTAGGCACCTCGGAATGATTGTGGTAAGATATCACTAAGTCCCTTCCCTGTCCACCTTTACTCTTTGCTTTACAATAAGGCTTTCAACTAAATCGTAGTTGTGCGGCAGTGAAGCATCGGTGTTGAACACTGATGTCATGCTGTCGATGATGATGATACGCGACCTAATATCAAGAAGCATATTAATACAGGTATTGGAGTATGTTCACGAACTTCCGGTTGAACACGCATGGCCAGAAGTACAAGCTGGTTGACAGAGCCGAAAGCACCCCCGAAGTTAAAGATTAGAGATGGCCTGTATCCATGGTACCTTCATAACACCCCCACCGAGTGTGAAGATGTGACCGATGCAGCATATATCCGGTCGAAATCCCGTTTGATGTCCACAAAACAAAATTTCAGATGAAGCCCTACGACGAAGAATCACGATTTCAGAAGCTTTTACAGAACCAGATGGCTCAGTGGTTGTCCAAATCCGACCCCTGCCCCTCGAATCTCCTTGCCTAGGCTTGGGCAACTTAGCAATATCCCCACCCCTATGCTTCTTTCTGGCGGTATGGCA